CGATTGGTGCCTGCCGGCCAGGGGGAGTAACTGGAAGGTTGGCTGGCAGGCCCCCAATCAGGCGATCGTGGTGGTCAATGTGCATCATAGCGACCAGTCGTTCTGGTTGTTCAGTCATTCTGCTGTAACAGTCGCTTAGGCTTTTATATATAGAGATACTTATGTTCTTTTTTCTCTTAAAGAAATCACTTTAACCCTAACAACCGGTTTGGCTCAGTAGATACAGTGTTGGCCTGTGAACTGAAGTGTCCCAGGTTCGATTCCGGTCAAGGGCACATGCCCAAGTTGTGTGCTTGATCCCCAGTAGGGGGCGTACAGGAGGCAGCCAATCAATGATTCTCGTTCATTATATATATACCTTTAACATTTTTTATAATTCTGATTTGGTGGTGATGATCTCTGCATTAGCTTTTTCTTGTCTGTGAAGCTCTTTATCTAACTTCAATTCTAAATGCTAGCTTTGCTGGGTAGAGTAATCTTGGTTATATATTGTTGCTTTTCATCCCTTTGAATATTTCTGCCAATCCCTTCTGGCCTGCAAAGTTTCTGTTGAGAAACCAGCGGTTAATCATAAGGGTAACTAACTGCTTTTCTGTTGCTACTTTAAGATTTTCTCCTTGTCTTTAACCCTTGGCATTTAATTACATTGTCTTGGTGTGGGCCTCTTTTGGTTCATCTTGTTTGGGACTCTGTGCACCTCCTGGGCTTGTATGTCTATGCCTTTCATCAGGTTAGGAAAGTTGTCAGTCCTTATTCCTTCAATCAGATTCTCAATCCCTTGCTTTCTCTCTCCTACTGGTATCCTATGATGTAAATGTTGGTACACCTGATGTTATTTCAGAGTCCCCTTAAACTCTCCTCATTTTTTAAATTCTTTTTTTTTTTTTTTTGCTATTTTTTCTTTTACCTTATATTCCAACTAGAGGCCCAGTTCACGACATTCATTGCACTGGGGAGTGGGGGGCCACCTCAACCCAACCTGTGCCCTCTCGCAGTCCGGGAGCCCTCGGGGAGCGGGCCTAAGCCAGCAGTCAGACATCCCTCGAGGGGTCCTTAGCGCTGCCGCGAAGGCAGGAGGCTCCCACCACTGCCGCTGTGCTCACCAGCCATGAGCCCAGCTCCTGGCTGAGCAGCAGTCCCCCTGTGAGAACACACTGACTACCAGGGGGCAGCTTCTGCATTGAGCATCTGCCCCCAGGTGGTCAGTGCGCGTTATAGCGACCGGTCATTCCACCATTCAATTTGCATATTAGGATTTTATTATATACTAGTGGCCCGGTGCACGAAATTCGTGCATGGGGGAGGGTATGTTCCTCAGCCTGGCCTGCACCCTTTCCAATTTGGGACCCCTCGAAGGATGTCCTACTGCCAGTTTACAGGGATCGGGCCTAAACCGGCAGTCGGACATCCCTTTCGCAATCCAGGACTGCTGGCTCCTAACC